GAACATGAGAACCATGTTTCAAGATTTTAAAGGGTGTCCCATTGAGGGGGAGGGGGTGACTTTCTGCTGCTCTAGAGAACAGGGCACAAGGGAGCAGTGGTTTCAAATGGCAGAGAAAGAGATTTGACTGAAAATATCAGCAAGAACTTCCTGAGAGTAAGAGCTGTTGGGGAGTGGCATAGGCTGCCTCAGAGTGTGGTGGAGTCTCCTTCTCTGGAGACTTTTCCGCAGAGGCTATCTATCAGGAGTGCTTTGACTGTACCTTATTGCAAGGAAAGGGGTTGGACTGAATTGCCCTTGGGAGTCTCTTCCAGCTCTAGGATTCTAGAATTATATTTCAGGAGTAGGCAATATGGGGTCTAATGGATACACTTTTTCTCTCTCATCCTTCATCCCATCCTGACCAAGGCTAAGCTTTTTGAATTCCAAATATTTGCCATCTTTCTTTCACGTTCTGCCTCTGAACTTGGGGAGAGACCTCCCCCTCCTGGCCTGCCCACCCCACTCCAGCCCACCAGAATCATAGTGTTGGAAGATAATCATGGGCCATTCAGTCTAACCTCCTCTTTAGAAGCAGGAAATTCACATTCAAAGCACCCCCGACAGGCTGGATAGCCATCTGTCAGGAGTACATTGAATTCAATTTTCCTACTTCTTGGCAGGGGGTTGGACTGGATGGCCCACGAGTCTCTTCCAACTCTATGATTCTATGCGGACCCCAAGTTAGAGAGTTTGCCCATGCCTGTTGTACACTATGTTGTACACTTAGTTGGCTAAGGAATTATCACTACAGAAGAATCTGAAAAATCCTAAAAACGTAACTCTGAATGAAATTTTAAGTGGATTTTTTCTCTAGTGTGATTTTTCCCCCTAATGTGATAAAGGGAGGAGCCTTTGACAGTCTCACTAAACTACAAACCCCAGAATTCTGCAGGAAGCAGAAACCGGATTTTAAGTGGATTTTTTGTCTAGTGTGATGAAGTAGTAAAAGAAATAAGTCTCACTGCACATAGTAAGGCTGTCTTCTCTTCCCCCCCCCCCTGCCCAGCCCCAAAAAATAAAATCACCAACTTAGAAATAGCCTCAAAAATCCATCCAAGGTACCTGTTCTATCTATCTTCCCCTGAAGATATTTAAAAACCTACATGCACTAAAATAATTTAAATATATGCTAGGCATGGAATGCTACTGTGAGTGTAATCAGCACAAAACCTGTAGAGCACTAGAAAATTAGGAATGCCTTATTAGTAGTAACTAGTAAAACTCTTTGAATCACATCACATGAAATGAAACATTTATGAGCCTAAAATCATTCCTCCACTAGAAAAATATGGGAAATGCTGTTCTTTCTATCCTCCAGTCATGATGCTGATGGCCATGATTAGTGTTAAGAGTAGGCTAATCCCTTTCAATGGCAAAATATAACACACACCCAGTTCCTCATTGCAGATCTATTGAAATATTTTTGCTATGAGCATAATTCTATTTTCCTTATTTCCATAAATATATGTGAATACTGTCTTAAATGCTGAGAGCATATGCATTCTTAAAAGCTGCACTTTGGCATTGCAGGGACAGGTATGTTTGTTTTTGCTTTAAGAAAAACCACACAATTGGTTCAGCTTGATTGGTGAGCTGGTTTATTTATAGAAAAAGTAAAAAATGGAGTTCCTATATTTATAAAACTTGTTGAACAACTATATTTCCATTTTGAACAGCAATGTCTAACCATTCTAAAGACTTAAAGAAGCAGGAGCTATTTCCATAGTTACAAGATTCAGGGCTATTCATTGGAGAGAATTACTTTACTAGCGATATTGCACAATGACACCTACAAAATACACATCTCTAGAGCAATTTGAACAGATAAGTCAGCAAGGACTCAACAGGAAAGTCAAGCCAGCTTTAAAATCAGGGATAAACTTCATACACACCTGCTGCAGCCAAGTCACACTTCGTTGGATGAAAATTAACATGCACAGACTTGCTGCCTCTTTCCCAGAAACAGCATAAATAAACAAATAACATATGATAATAATATAATATGATAATATGAAAATAATATAAGGTAAGATAATATAATAAGATCAGATAATAATAATATAATTATAATATACTATGGTAACATAATACAATAATAATATATGATAATATAATATGATGATAATAATTATAATATTATAATTATATATAATTATAAGATAACATAATAATATTAATAATATATGATATATTATATGATAATATAATAAGGTGCTACAGGCTGAGTATCCCTTATCTAAAATGCTTGGAACCAGAAGCATTTTGGATTATTTTAGATATTAGAATACCTCTGCTTGCATATATGCATATAATGAGATATCTTGGAGTTGGGACCCAAATCTAAACACAAAAATTCATTTATGTTTCATATAGAAACTGTACACAATATTTTAAATATTTTTGTGCAAAAACCAGTATGTGTACATACAAAGAGAAAGCAAAGATGTTGCTATATCAGCCAATCATGTGGATAATTTAGGATTTTAGAGTATTTTGGATTCCAGACAAAGGTTGCTTAACCTGTAATTGATTTGTGTCCAATGTTTAGATGAAATCTAAAACGAATTATGCCCTTCCAAGACACAGTGACTATAATCGCAACACTAAATGTTTGCATTCTCAGAGCTGAGCTCTTCCACCTGTTTGATACAGGCAATGCACTCTCTACTGAGACTTTCCTGAGCAGCTTTTTAAAATTACCCAATTCATCTTTATAAGTGTACAATTTAGAACGCTCTTACCAACTGGCCTACAAATGTTTCTTCCCCTTTCCTGTCACCCACCAGCTCTACCCTTTTTCAGGACAAAATTCAGATAACTATGGGATTCCAAAGGAGGTGATACCAAATGAGGAGTGGCGTGGAAAACCTGCCAAATCAGTTATTCTTATTATTAATTATGTTTAATTGCCATCATTCAAAAGCAAGGGAAAATTAGTACAACCACTTCTCCCCCGACCAAAAAAAAAAATCAACTCTGTGCCAAATTTATCCTGCTTATGAAAGACAGCATTGTGTAGCGGTTTGACATCTATAACTCTGGAGACCAACGATGCAACAAGAGTGTAGAAATAATGCAGTTTGATATCAATTTACCTGCCTTGATTCAATTCTGTGGAACCATTAGAGTTGGAACTTGACAAAGACTTGAGTCTCCTCTGTCAAAGAGGGCTGGTGTTTCATGAAACTACAAATCCCATGATTCCATAGCATTGAGCCATGGCAGTCAAAGTGGTGTCACGCTGCATTCATTCTATAGTGTAGATCAGTGGTTACCAACCTGTGGTCTGTGGACCACAACAAGAATGAAAATGTCATCTGCAGCCTCACCATTGCTACACTGTTGCCTTGAAACCATGCAGAAACAAGAACAAGTCATCTCTCAAAACCCTCTTACAGTGCCGAGGCAATAGGGATGTTGGGAGGGGAGAGGCTGTATACCCATGAAAGATTACTACTACCACATCATCTCTGGATTATTAAATATGGTTTTCTGTGGGCGAGCAGATGGCAACTACTGGATGGGATATGTTTTGTATCATAAACTAGAGCTGATGCTATTCAATGCAATTTTCTGAATTAGCACTCCAAATAACCAAACTGAATCTAAAGTTGACCAAAAACTGATTCGTAACCCTTTTGGTACTAATGTTGGGGAGTGGTCTCGGTCAAAGTGGTCCTTGGTCCAGTGGTCCCTGGTCCAGTGGTCCCTGTTCCAGTGGTCCCTGTCAAGTAGTCCCTGGTCAAAAAAAGGTTGGGAACCACTGGTGTAGATGCACCCCTGCAAAGCCATGGAAACCCACTGGGTGAATCACAGTCTGTCAGCCTCAGAATAATGCAAGCCTCTTCTTCCACAGTCATCTACGTACCCACTGCCAGGACACCTAACTTGGAGGACAATCTTACTCAGACAACAAGGGATCGCCTAAGTAAGTAAGGTCAAGTGATCCCTGTTCAAGTGAACCCTGGTCAAGTGGTCCTTGGTCAAGTGGCCCCTGGTCAAAGTGATCCCTGTTCAAGTGGTCCCTGGTCAAGTGGCCCCTTGTCAAAAAAGATTGGGAACCACTGGTGTAGATGCACCCCTGCAAAGCCATGGAAACCCACTGGGTGAGTCACAGTCTCTTAGCCTCAGAAGAATGCAAGCCTCTTCTTCTGGACAAAGTTTGTCTAGGCAGAAAGTTCTGTGATAGGTTGGAAACAACTAGAAGGGCACACAACAACAAGAACAAAAACAACATGGGAAAAAGGAGGAGGAGGAGGCCAAAAGGCTGAATGAATCTGGACCTCACAACCTCTGAGGATGCCTGCCATAGATGTGGGTGAAATGTCAGGAGAGAAGGTTTCTAGAACATGGCCATATAGCCTGAAAAACCTACAACAACCCTGTGATTCTGGCCATGAAAGCCTTTGACAATACAATCTGGCCTTGCTCTCTCATACACACTGGGATGCATATACTGTAGAACAGACATGGGCAATTTAGGAATTGTGGGAGTTAAAGTCCAAAACACCTGGAGGGCCAAAGTTTGCCCATACCTGCTGTAGAATGAATACAGTTTGACACCTTTTGAGACCCCATCTGCACTGCCATCCAATCCAGTTTCTGAACCCAGACCTTTTTGCTTTGAACTGGATTATATGGTAGGGTAGATTGATTCATCTAATCCAGTTCAAATCTGATCATCTGGGTTCACAACTTGTCGGTGGAGATCCAGCTTGACTTGCCAGGATGTGAATAGTGTGAGTTGTAGTTTCCCTAAGTCTTCTTGCACCTTCCCTGCCAACGAGATGCCGGTGCATCACCCAACTCAGACTCCCAGGAGCCCAAAGCGGTGTCAAAGTAGAGTGTAGACAGCGGAACCCAATTCGAGGCGAGGTAGGGTGGGGGAAAGGGAGGAGAAGGGGCCACTCTGCCCTCCAGCGTGATTCCTAGGAAGGTAAAGTGGGCGCTACACTCACCTTTGGGGAGGATGCGAGAGCCTCTTTTATCTCCCGGCTCGAGGGCTGCGGCTGAGGATGGACCTGCCCAGGACTGCCATCTTCAAGGGCTGCCAGAGTCGGGAAAGTAAAAGTTGCCCCGACAGATGCAGAGGGAAGCGAAGAGGAAAGAGGAGGAGGAGGAGGGAGAGCCCGTCATGAAGAGGAGAGGCGGAGAAGGGGGAAGCCTTTGCCTTCTTCGTCGTCGTCGTCCTCCCTGCCGCTTTTGCTGCTGCTGCTGCATCCACTGCGAGGGGTTTCTCTCGGAGCGCAGCGCTCGCAGCCCGACGCGGCCACTCGAGGAGGATGGACTAAAAATAGCCGGCAAAAGGGAGGCGGGCGGGAGGCGGGCGCCGACGACGCCTTTGCCTTTGCCTTCGCCGCCCAAGGAGAGGCGGGGGAGCTCCGAAACGGAGCGGGGAAACGGGGCAGGGGGTTGGCAGGGACGAGAGGGAACGCTAAAGCCTTCCTGAAAAGGGTGAGAGGTGGGATCCAGGCTGTGCCTTTGTTCGGACACAACCGTCCCTCCTTTCTTTCTCTCCTCATTGAGGTCCCTTTTGGTAAGGATGAACGAAAGAAGGATGCATTGTTGGGGATGGGCCCATAAGGGTGTGGGTAAACCACATCTCCCATCATCATCTGTCGCACCCAAACTGCATCAGTAGTTCAAGTTGGGTCTGTGTGCCAAGTCTGGTCCAGATCCAATCAATGGTTGGGTTCCGACTGCTCTCTGGACTTAGGTGAACTGTAAATCCCAATATCCAATGGCAATTGCCCCCAAACTACACCACTTCAATTGGCCAAGTTCGGTCTGTGTGCCGAGTTTGGTCCAGATCCATCACTGGTTGGGTTCTGACTGCTCTCTGGACGTGGGTGAACTATAAATCCCAATATCCAAGGGCAATTCCCCCCAAACCACACCACTTCAATTGGCCAAGTTGGGTCTGTGTGCCGAGTTTGGTCCAGATCCATCGCTGGTTGGGTTCTGACTGCTCTCTGGATGTGGGTGAACTAGAAATCCCAATATCCAAGGGCAATTCCCCCCAAACCACAACACTTAAATTGGCCAAGTTGGGTCTGTGTGCCAAGTTTGCTTCAGATCCATCACTGGTTGGGTTCTGACTGCTCTCTGGATGTGGGTAAACTATAAATTCCAATATCCAAGTGCAATTCCCCCCAAACCACACCACTTAAGTTGGCCAAGTTGGGTCTGTGTGCCAAGTTTGGTCCAGATCCATCTTTGGTCGGGTTTCAACTGTTCTCTGCTTGTGGGTGAGCTATAAATCCCAATATCCAAGGGCTGCTCAGCCATAGAAACTACTGGATTTGCTTGGACATGGCTCTGTTTCTTAGCCTCAGAGGACACAAAAGCAAACCTCTTTCTGAAAAAAAATTCAGACAAGAAAAACCATTGGCTGTACAGTCAGCCCTCCATAGTAACAGGATACCCTGATTCCTTGACACTGCCCACTCCTTGATTTGTGTGTGTGTGTGTGTGTCGTGTCAGGAGTGACTTGAGAAACTGCAAGTTGCTTCCGGTGTGAGAGAATTGGCCGTCTGCAAGGACTTTGCCCAGGGGACACCCGGATGTTTTGATGTTTTACCATCCTTATGGGAGACTTCTTTCATGTCCCCGCGTGAGGAGCTGTAGCTGATAAAGGAATGCATAGAATCTAAGCAAGCAGCCATAAATTTGACAGAAACAGCAGTCTTAAACCTATTCATAACCAAATATTACTGTATTTGTTTGACACAGGACGTTGTGTCAGATAAATAGGCATATGACTGCATCCAAAAGACTGTTAGATGTAGCGAATCTGAATTGTCTTTAGTTAGCTAAATAATGACTATGCCCTAAAACAATACGAGGAAAATGCATTGCAAACTAATCTTAGCAAGGCTCACTTTCAGATTCCAGACATGGTTTATCAGTTTTACTAGCATGTGGGTTAAACCACTGAGCTGCTAATCTTGTTGACCGAAAGGTCACAGGTTTGAATCTGGGAAGCAGTGTGAGCTTCCGCTGTTAGCCCCAGCTTCTGCCAACCTAGTAGTTCGAAAGCATGCAAATGTGAGTAGATCAATAGGTACTGCTCCAGCGGGAAGGTAATGGCACTCCATGTAGTCATGTTGGCCACATGACCTTGGAGGTGTCTACGGACTAAACTGGCTCTTCAGCTTAGAAATGGAAATGAGCACCAACCACCAGAGTCGGACACGACTGGACTTAACGTCAGGGAAAACCTTTACTTTTCCTTTAACATTTTAAAAGTGGCTCCTAATGTGTTTAAATTTAAATTTAAATATCCATTCAAATCAGGGATAAGAAATCTTAACCAGCCATAATACTTGGGACTATTGGTTCTACAGTCTCTTCCCATTGGTTTTTATGTTTTGGACTTGTACACCTGAAAGGTCTGTTTCCCTACCAATGATTTCATTGGTCAGCAATGTGTTTAAAAAAACCCTTTTATGTACAAGTGCAAAACATCAAAAGATAGCATATTCATAGATGTTTGCTATACAAAGGCAGGTTCTGAAGACGGGGAAGGGCCAAAATAGCATTAAACTTCTTTTACTTTCCATTATTACTTCAATAGCTTGCTATTCCTCCAAGAAATATATTCCAGTAGGCATAATTCTTACCCAAAACACTATGAAAAATGCTCCTCCATAAACATGCCTAGAATCTTTATTGCATGAATACACTTAATGTATGTGTATTCAAAATAATATAACTTTAATCATAGCTAGAAAATTAAAATGCACAAAAATCATGAAAACTCTTATATAGCAAATTATGTATAAGAAAGATTTAGTCTAAACATTATGAAAAGCTTACTGACAGCAAATGCTGTTTGAAAATAGAATGTGCTATCTCAGGAACTGGGGGTTACTGCTTTGTGAGAAGTTTTTTTAACAGTGATTAAGTAGCCACGAGGGGGGGGTTAGGGGTTCAACGCCCCCCTCCCCAGAAAAAAACCCTGTTTTACTCATGAATTTTAACTGGTTAACCAAATCCCCATGCTAAGTCTATGAGACTCAAAAAATTAAGAGTCCCTCCAGAACTGCAAGCACTATCTCAAGCAAATATTGACAATTTATTCACACTGTCATTACTTGCAGCAATAGCCGATGTAGTGAAGCAACCAAGTTGGGGGAGGGGGGGAGTGTTGAATGCTCTCATTAAGGAGGCCCAGACTTGGTGGAGGTGGTTGACAGGGGCGGAGCTGCAGGCTATTGAAGGCTGCTCTGCCCCCTGCTGTGCTCTTTGCTTCAGCGTGAGCTAGGAGGCAGGTTTCAACCCCCCCCCCCCCGTGAAATTTTCAACCCCCCCCCCCCAAAATGTCAACCCCTCCCAAAAAAAATTCTGGCTACGGCCCTTGCCACGTCTCAGGGGCCTCAGTAGTGGATCTTTGCATTAGTAGGGGAGTAGACAAGATGACTGTTGGAGTGCTTTACAACCCTATGAATCTATGCATCTTCCTTTTCATTTTAGCAAGTTTTAATAGTTCTTCTTTGTGTGTTATCAGTGTAAAAATCTGGTTTATGCTTTATATTTTTGAAAAAAAACTACCAATAGCATCAAAATGTTGTCTTCAGAAATTGGGGAAAATGTCATTTCACTTGCCAAGGTATACAGGCACTCCCCAAGTTATGAACAAGATAGGTTCTGTAGATAATGAGTTACACGTAAAATTTACCTGTTCTGACTTACAAACAAATTCAGTTGAAGAACAAACCTACAGAGCTTATTTTGTTCATAACTTAGGGAGTACCTGATGGCACAGTGAGCTGCTGAACTTGCTGACCAAAAGGTTGGCAGTTCAAATCTGAGGAGTGGGGTGAGCTCCCGCTGTTAGGCCCAACTTCTGCCAACCTAGCAGTTTGAACATGTAAATGAGAATAGATCAACAGGTACTGTAGGAAGGTAACAGCAGTCCATGCAATCATGCTGGCCACATGACTTTGGAGGTGTCCTGGGAAACCTTTATCTTTACACTATATATAAGTAAAAGTAAAGGTTGTCTCCTGACATTAAGTCCAGTCATGTCTGACTCTGGGGTATGGTGCTCATTTCAATTTCTAAGCCGAAGAGCTGGCGTTGTCTGTAGACACCTCCAATGTCGTGTGGCCGGCATGATTGCATGGAGCGCCGTTACTTTCCCGCCTATTGATCTACTCACATTTGCATGTTTTCAAACTGCTAGGTTGGCAGAAGCTGGGGCTGTCAGAGGAAGCTCACACTGCTCCCTGGAATCGAACTTGCGACCTTTCGATCAACAAGCTCAGCAGCTCAGCGCTTTAACCCACTGCGCTACTGGGGGCTCCTAGACACTATATGTGTGTGTGTGTGTGTGTGTGTGTGTGTGTGTGCAACCTTCGTTCATCCAACGTTCTGTATTATCCAATGCAATATGCCTCCAGCCCTGATTCACAGCTGTTTCAATACATTGTGATGCTTTGGTGCTAAATTGGGAAATACAGTAATTACTACATGATATTACCATGTATTAAACTGCTTTTGCTGTCAATTTGTTGTAAAACATGAAGTTTTGGTGCTCAATTTGAAAAATCATAATGTAATTTTATGTTTAATAGGTTTTTCCTTAATCTCTCTTTATTATCCAATATTTTTGCTTATCCAGCATTCTGCTGGTCCGTTTATGTTGGATAAGCAAGGCTCTACTGTATATATAAAAGCTTTGGATAGCATACGGACTGGCTTGACTCTGAAGGAGCTGGGGGTAGTGATGGTCGACAAGGAGCTCTGACGTGGGCTGGTCCATGAGGTCATGAAGAGTCGGAAGCAACTGAATGAATAAACAACAACAAGCATAGGGAATGGTTAACATCCCTGTGGTGTTTGTTTTACAGTGTATGCCCCTGTTCAGAAGATTTCACCTCACTTTCTGTTCCTGTGAAAATTGATTTTGGAATTTTTTGTTTGCTTCTTTTTCAGCAGTATCACATTGCTGGGTCACACTCAGCTTATGATCACTAACAATTCCAATATAGTTTTTACATGTATTACCACCAATCCAATGTGGTGTAGTAATTAGAATGTTAGACTCTGGAGACTAGGGTTGGAATCTGCATTCAGCCATGGAAACCTACGAAGTGACCTTGCGTAAATCATATTCTCTGCAGGAGAGAGAAGTGATCCCTCCTCGGAGCAAATCTTACAAAAAGAAATCCATGACAAGTTCGCTTTAGGATTGCCATAAGCCAGGAGCAACTTGAAAGCACACAACAGCAACTGCAAAGTCAAGTACCCCCATCCATTTGAGTT